AAATTACTTCGTTATTGAACCTAAATTGAAATTATAATAAAATTTTGAATTAAAAAATTACACAAAAAATTAAAAATTTTAAATAGTTAATTTGATACTAATATCGATATATTTTTGTCAAAATTTTATGATATCTTCAAATTTATATTTTATTAAAAAATAAAAACATTGTCGCATTTTCAAAATCACATAAGACCATATTATAACATCAATTGAGATAAAGAATAAAACGAAATATTAAAATCAAGATGGATCTCGCTGCATTGCGTGAGTACCTTCTAGTTTATTCTAAAATCATCGAGATCAGATGATCCAGACCTAAACCGGATCTAAAGTATTCTCAAGGTAACTGGAAGGTTTTTATGGCTGTTAACTACAGAATCTCATAAAATTAGTCGAGATGCTCACAAACTCCCCAGACACCCTCGGATATCAAAAAAGACATTAAAAAAATCCAGATAGGTCGTTACGCTACGATGGATGGCCTCTTTAAGTTCTTCGATTTGACAAATTACAAGCTCGGAAAGCTAAAACCCTTGGTTTCGAGATTGAGGACAACGTGTCGAGATCGGTTCGAGAAGGTACGATGTAGATCGATCGTTATTTTAGCATTTGACGGATATGACCCTCATGGAGGGTCTTGATCATAGAGTAGATAAATGAGGGATTAAACGTAGAATTATTCAAAAATTAATTTATAGCCATTAAAAACCAAAATAAAAAGAGTAATTTTAGGTATTACCATTCGGTTTACCGTACCATCTTTCTTTTACACCCAACAAATTGCCAAAATTACCACTAGTTTTCACCCTTATTCTCACTTCTACAAAGTAAATTTTTTGGAGAAAATGGTAATTTTACATGCCAAACTCGATTTCGAATCGATTCGAATGCTGAACTAAATGGCGAAACAAGACGACGATCAAGAGGAGGAGGTGGAGGAGGAGGAGGAGGAAGACGATGATGATTACGACTACAATGAAGATGATGACGACGATGATGAAAAAGCGACTAGAATCAAGAAAAGCAAAGAGTTGGGACTCTCGTGCATGTTGAACACAGAGGTCGGGGCGGTCCTCGCAGTCATTCGACGGAGATCCGACCCGACCTCCCAATTTATGTACCAAGATGATGTCATGGATTCGAGCTTATTACATTCTTTGAAATCGATGAGATCACTCATTTTCAATCCCCGTCAATCGTGGCGGCTGATTGATCCATCGATGTACCTCTCGCCGTTTCTCGACGTGATATCGTCGGATGACGTGCCGGCTGGCGCCACTGCGGTGGCACTCTTTTCTGTTTTGAAGATCATGAAGCTCGGTATGTTCGATAGAAAGACTCCTGGCGCGAAAGAGGCGATATCAAATGTCGTCATCGCCGTCACCGGATGCCGCCTCGAGAAGACGCATCCGATCACGGAAGCCGGCATCATGATGAGAATCTTGCAGGTTTTGGCGGCAGTGATGAGGCATCCGGCGTCCGTATTGCTCGACGATCACTCCGTTTGCACCATTGTCAATACGTGTTTTCAGGTGGTTCAGCAATCCTCGAACCAAAGCGATATGCTGCAGCGGATCGCACGTCATACGATGCACGATCTAATCCAGATTATATTTTCTCGGCTGCCGGAGATTGCGGTCGGAGATTGGGAGAACTCGGAATCCGACACCGAAGACACCACCGAGGAAACTGGTTACGGGATCCGTTGTGCAGTCGACATATTCCATTTCCTTTGTTCGTTATTGAACGTGGTCGGAATGGTCGAAAATGAAGGATCGCTGGCTCTAACCGCCGACGAAGATGTCCAAGTTTTCGCGCTTGTTTTGATCAACTCGGCGTTAGAACTAAGCGGCGATAGCATCGGAAAGCACAAGAAGCTGTTGCGGATGGTTCAAGACGATATTTTCCATCATTTGATCCATTACGGCACTTCTTCGAGCCCGTTGGTTTTCTCGATGATCTGCAGCACGGTTTTGAACCTTTATTACTTCCATCGCAAATCGATCCGTTTGCAACTCGAGGCTTTCTTCTTGTTCGTGTTGTTCAAAATTTCGAACCAAAGTTACTTGATTCAGCTCCAAGAACTCGCGGTCGAAGGGATTATCAACTTGTGTCGACAGCCCACGTTCATAATCGAAGCCTACGTGAACTACGATTGTGATCCGATTTGCAATAATATCTTCGAAGAGATCGGGAAGAGTCTTTGCAAACATGCATTTTTATCCGGTAATGGAGCTCCGACAAGCGTACAACTCCAAGCTTTTGATGGCCTCATGGTCCTAATCCACAACATTGCTGATAATGTCGACAAACAAACGAACTCGAGGCCGACGGGCCCGTACCCGGTCGAGATATCCGAGTATATCCCGTTTTGGGAGGAGAAACCGAAACCGAAAGAAGATATCGATCTAGAGACATGGATCGATTCGGTGAGGCTGCGAAAGGTGCAAAAGCGGAAGATAATGATTGCAGGGAACCATTTTAATCGAGACGACAAAAAAGGGATCGATTATTTGAAAATCTCGAACCTGATATCGGATCCGCCCGACCCAAAAGGCCACGCGATGTTCTTCAGGTACACTCCGGGGCTCGACAAGACCAAGATTGGTGAATTTCTTGGCGATCCTGGCGAGTTTAGTCTTAAAGTACTTAAAGAATTCACGGACACATTCGAGTTATCGGGGTTGGTCCTCGACACCGCTCTACGAACGTATCTAGAAACTTTCCGACTTCCCGGAGAATCGCAAAAGATTCAACGAATCCTCGAAGCTTTTTCTGAGCGATTTTATGACCAACAATCATCGGAAATCTTTGTGAGCAAAGATGCAGTGTTCATACTGTGTTACTCGGTGATCATGTTGAACACCGATCAACATAACCCGCAAGTGAAGAAGAAGATGACCGAAGAGGAATTCATCAAGAACAACCGAGCGATCAATGGCGGCAACGATCTCCCACGAGAATACTTATCGGACCTTTTCCAGTCGATCGCAACCAAAGCCATCACGATCTTCGGCCAAACTGGCTCACCGATAGAGATGAACCCGAGCCGCTGGATCCAGCTCATAAACAAATCCAAATTGGTGCAACCATACATCACTTGCAACTTCGATCGGAGGATCGGTCGGGATATGTTCGCCACAATCGCGGGTCCCACGGTCGCAACCCTTTCGACCATCTTCGAACACACTGAGGATGAAGAAATAATTCACGAATGCATTGAGGGATTATTTGCGGTCGCCAGGATCTGTCAATACGGGCTCGAAGATACCCTCGACGAGCTTATTTCCTCGTTTTGCAAATTCACGACTCTGTTAAATCCGTACGCTTCGGTCGAAGAAACTCTGTTTTCGTTCGGCCATGATTTGAAGCCTCGAATGGCGACACTTGCAGTTTTCACCGTCGCTAATAACTTTAAGAATTCGATCCGAGGAGGGTGGAGAAGCATTATCGACTGTTTATTAAAGCTAAAACGGCTTAAACTCCTACCGCAACCTATTGTGGACGTCGGGACTTCTTCCGCCAACGGCCGCCCACACCGCCGCACGGAATCGGAGTCGATAAGCAACGATCAAGCAGGACGGATTAACACCTCTAACTTGATGGCGGCAATATCTCATTGTTTATCGATGGAAAACGTCGAAGAGAGTTTGAATTTAGGAATAAGCGAATTCGAGCAGAATTTGAAAGTGATTCAACAATGCAAGATCGGAAGCATCTTTAGCAAGAGCTCGAATCTGCCGATCGAGCCGTTGCTAAATCTCGGCCGATCCCTCATCTTTGCCGCGGCCGGAAAAGGACAGAAGTTCAGCACTCCGCTTGAAGAAGAAGAAACGGTTCAGTTCTGTTGGGACCTGATTCAAGCCATGGCTTCTTGTAACGTCCACCGGCTCGCATCGTTCTGGCCGGCGTACAACGATTATCTTCTAACCGTAATCCAGTTCCCGTTGTTTTCGCCAAACCCGTTCGCTGAGAAAGCCATTACCGCATTGATGAGAATCTGCATAAAGCTTCTTGCGTCCAAATCAAACGAAAAGCAGTCCGAAGAACTTCTTTTCAAATCGATAAACTTGATGTGGAAATTGGACCGGGAAATTCTCGATACATGTAACGAGTTCATAATCCAATCGATAACGAAGATCTTGAACAAGTACTCCTCGAATTTACTCTCGCAATTAGGATGGAAAACAGTTCTTCATCTGTTATCAATCACCGGACGACATCCCGAAACGTATGATCGTGGAGTCGAAGCTCTCATAAACCTAATGGCGGACGGAACCGGCATTTCCATTGCAAATTACCCGTACTGCATCGATTGTGCATTCGGGTTCGTCGCCCTGAGAAACAGTCCGGTGGACAAGAACATGAGGTTGATGGATTTGATGGCGGATTCGGTGAAATTGATAGTTGACCGGTTGAGAAACGGGTACTCCGATCCGGGAAGTAATCCATCCATCAACAGTTCAGCATCTCTCGATGAAAACATGAAATATCTCGCATCCACGACCAATATGTCGATGAATCTGTTCGTGAAGCTCGGTGAAGCGTTACGAAAAACGAGCTTAGCAAGACGAGAAGAGGTTCGAAACTACGCGGTTTCGTCCCTCCAGAAAAGCTTCATGAATGCCCAAGAGCTTTATTTCACTCCAACCAACATTATAAACTGCTTCAATCTCGTGATTTTTGCGATGGTCGACGATCTACATGAAAAAATGTTGGAGTATTCGACTCGAGAGAATGCGGAACGGGAAACGAGAAGCATGGAAGGGACCCTGAAGTTGGCAATGGAGGTTCTTGTTGATGTTTATTTGCAGTATCTGAAACTGCTGATGGAGAGTTCGGGGTTCAAGACGTTTTGGTTGGGGATATTGAGACGGATGGATACGTGTATGAAAGCGGATCTTGGGACGTACGGAGAGTCGAAAATCAAAGAACAGGTACCGGAATTGTTGAAGAAGATGATCACGACGATGCGCGAGAAAGAAGTTTTGGTGCTGCAAGAAGGGAACGATTTGTGGGAAATCACGTATATTCAGATACAATGGATCGCTCCTGAACTTAAAGACGAGCTTTTCCCGGATGCCGCTTAGATCACTGGGCGACACCGGGTCCAATTTTGGCCGGGAAATCAACGAATGACTCGGAGTTTTTAGCTTCCGAATGGAAACCGACGATCGTCTGAGCATGTTTCAGCAAGAATGTAGAGAAAAATACCAACGGGCGTGTCTTGAAACAACCGCCCTCTGCTCTTTAGGATGGAGGTCAGGTCTATTTACATGCCACCCACCCCAGTATCCCAATTTCGGTGGAATTTACTGGGTTTATTTGATTTGGTTTACAAACTGTTGTAGCAAACAGTCTAAAAACTCCAAAATCTCATTTTTCTTTATTTTGGAGTATCGATTGGAGCAAATAAATAAAATTTCAAGCGACTAGAATTGTTAGGTATGAGATTGACTTTCAAGCTCAATATATCTTTACAGAAAATAAGATATACGTAAATCTAACCTCTATTATAATAAAAAAAAATTATGCGTAAACTTGTGCAAGAATGTAATAAGACCACAAGGTGGTACCTGATTAGTTTGAGCTTGACCTCAAAGGTTAAAAGTGTCTGAAGGTCCTAGGTTCAAATCCAAGGGGGAATAAGAATCCCCTTGTGGCCACGGAGGTTCAAATGCGACGACTTCGGGCTACATGCAAAGCAGGTGGTCGTTCTGTGATTAGTCAGATCGTATAGCGAGTTGAATATTCGGGTTAATAGGAAAAAAATGTAAGCAAATAGGTAGAAGGAATAAAGACACAACATGGTGAAGGGGAAAACAAGAGTAAAAACGAGTCACATTTACAAGAACCAAAATAAAAGCAAGCACATGTAGTATTAAACAATACAAAATAAACACAGAAGAACACGACAAGAATTAAGTATCTTATTCAGTAAAAACGATGACAAGTGGAAAGGTCAAGGAAAAAACTTGTAACTGAGAGTTACGACTTTTATCCGGTTAGCATTTACTGTGTGTAGATTAGGGGTGCTCATGGGTTGGGTTGATCGAGTTGAGAACATTTGAACAACTCAACCTAATGTTTGCGGTTTGAAAAAATCTTAACCCAACCCAACCCAAACCAAAATGCAACCCAACCCAACCCAAAATCCGTACGGGTTGGTCGGGTTGATACTTTGGTATATTAAAATATATTTTTCTAACCTTTAATATATTATTTCTCTACTCATAATTTCTTTTTCATCATCAACCATTTGATACAACTTATTCATATTTCTTACGTATATCACATTCAGTTAATTTTCTCAATTTACATATATATGTCCACAGTTATTGAATGAGTTATATAGAGATATGAATAGATTGAAAATATGTGTATATGAAAAGTATACATGATAGTGTAATTGTCTAATGTATATATTAATAAAATATCAACAATCATATTAAATCCAAGAAATAAAAGCATATCGGGTTCATCGGGTTGGGTTGGGTTCAAAAAATAGTAACCCAATATCAACTCAATACCTACAGTTTGACAATTTTACAACTCGATTAAACATCGGGTTGCTTCAGGTTGGGTTATTTCGCATTGGGTTGGGTTGGGTTGATCGGGTTGGTCGGGTTTTTGAGCATCCCTAGTGGAGATAGTTGCATATGATGCCGTTTTGATGTAGTAAAATCTTACCCAGTAAGATAAGTGATATTGTTGAATCTTACTCGATAAACACTTACCCATCGTTTGAGTAAACAACCCCTTAATTTTCCACACAGTCAATCAATTTCTAAGGGTAGTTTACCAAATACTTACAGGGGTATAACTTATTTAGAGGTTGAGCATGACCGAGAATTTTATCGCATAAGAGACACAGGAAGGTCCGATTAACGCTTCCCATTAACCCTTACCAGTAGCGGTAGATACATGATTTTTTCCTTGTGGGACCTTTAAGATTAATGGCCCGCAAAATCAGTCGATGTGTTTTTAGTTTAATTCCATCATTTCGATGAGTTTTTAAAGCTTTTTGATCGATTTCAAGAGATTTTTAAGTTTTTTGTCGATTTCAAAAGATTTTTTCTTTTTTTTTTGTTGAATTTGATAGACTTTTTTAGTTTTTTTTTTTTTTTTTGTTGATTTTGAAAGACTTTTTTGGTCATGAAATATGACACATCCGGAAATTTAATGGGGTCCTACGTAAAAAGTAAAAAAGAAACTATTTTTAAACCTTGTAAAAGAATTTACTTCTAATGGGAGCCCATCCCCCATTCTTTGCGTACGCAGTTGCTGACTGGTTTAGTATAGAATGATTAAGTGGTCAAAATAATTATTTTATGATTTAGTGTAAAATGAAATATAATTGTTTGGTAATTGTTCAAAATTAGGGCGTTGAATGGTTGAGGGTGGTCCAAGATACAAACTCATTCATATAATTTTAAAACCACTAGAAGGGTACTCGTGCAATGCATCAAGACATATCTTGATTTCAGTGTTTCGTTTTATTCCTTTTTTATGTCGATATAATACGGTTTTTTGTGGTTTTGAGAAAGCGATAATGTTTTTATTTTTGAAAAATATATAAATTTGAAAATATCATAAAATTTTGAAAAAAATATATCCATATCAGTATCAAATTAATCTTTTTAAAAGTTTTTGTATTTTGGTGTAATTTTCTTAATTCAATTTTTTTAATTATAATTACAATTTAATTTATGTTTAATAATATAAATTTTTATGAAGATAATAATTAAGTATTCTGTTATAACTCAATAATTATTCTAATTATATTTTACATTTTTTATATTTAAAATKAGATGTTTATTCAATATTTAATTATGTTTATCTGCAGTTAGTTACACGATTTCAAATATGGAGCTGTAATAAATTGTACTTATACACAATTTACTTGTAATATTAAATTTTAAGTAATATGCATCAATAAACAGTACTTCGTGCATAAAAAATGGTTTCTAAGAGTTTTTTGTTAAATACTTTATAATATAGTATAGATTAAGAGACAAACTTTTTTGCCAAACAAGATTCACCTCTTAACGATTCAGAGACTGCATCTTAATGGAACTATTAAGAGGTAAAGAAACAGTCCCTTACTAAATAATAGACCTTTGGTAGCTGAAAACATTACTCGATAAGATATAAGGATGGTTGCTAGTAAGTGCTTATCCATTAAGACCAAATTAGTCTTGATGCACCCTAAAGAAGAACTTAATCTTCAACCCAAATTATTCACTTTTGGGGTTTCCGAGCAACCGTAGGTGTCAGTTTGACGTTAAGTTTAACGTCTTCGTGTAACGGACGTTAAACTGCTAGTTTGACACTTTGACTTCTCATATTACCAATATCTAGAGTTGGATGACTTGGATCCTCATTTTGTTGGGCTAGGCCCACCTTAAAGCAACGAGTTATCATTTACTTTCGTCTAGTGATGACCAAACCGGCCCGATCCAACCCGGGACCGCCGGATAACTGGAACTGGGACCGGCCAAGGACCGGAACTGACTGGGACCGGTAAGGACCGGTTATGGGACCGTCGATTACATCCGGTTATGGATTTTGTCGGTTTTATGGACCGGGACTGGTTATGGGACCAGTTAAGGCCCGACCCGTCCCGAAATGTATTTTTTACCCTTTGACGAAGGAATAATACGGTGACACATGCCTACCGTATGCACCACTATAGATCTGACTCTGCCCAAAAATATTTTGCATACAAACACACAATTCAGTAAATGTATTTTTAGGGTCAAGTTACTTTGTGGTTTTATATTCATGGTCTAAAAGACAGAACGCTTTGTATAAACATCAAACAATATCATCATAGCATGATATCATGTTGGGATGACAGTTTTTTAATTTCACTAGTCTATACCAAAATTTCAAACATCAATTGTAAAATTAATAAAGGTTGTCTTATAAGAGACTCGATACATCCTTCATCAGACGCGTTTTAAAACCGTGAGTCCAAGTGTGTGAACAAAACAGACAATATCTGATACAGTTGGTCCAAGATGTTACAAATAGTATCAGAGTTGGGAACTGGGGATGGTGGGCTCCCAAGGGTGTGGATTGTAAGATCACACATTGGTTGAAGAGGATAATAAATGTTGCGTTATAAGAGACTTGATACCTCCTCTATCTGACATGTTTTAAAACCGTGAGTCAAAGTATGTGAACAAAGCAGACAATATCTGATACAATTAACCTAAGATGTTACAGATGGTATTGCTGGAATGTTGTCTTATAAAAAAATAAAAAAAAAGTGAAGGTGGATCACCCACAACACAAGAAAAGAAGATGTTGCAAGTAAGGCCCATCAAAATGTGACAATTGACTCCATATAGTTTTTTGTAATATGTAATGTTAATAAATGTGCCACTTTCACTACATTTTTTATTTTGACTTCTCCAACCACCAAAAGCCAGTTAACAATGGTGTCATGGTGACTCAGGGCTTTTTGGTTAAGCCAACCAATAAGTAATTTATTATGGGTTTTATGACGTCATCATCTTTTAATTATAGCCTCATAAAGTTATATCTTGTTTAAATGTATGTGGATGGACCATGCTTGTCAACTTTGTAACACCATCAAATGGATTTTAGCTTAATAGTATCGTAGTTTTTAGCCTCCTAAAAGGTCAGGGGTTTAAACCTCATCAAAAGTGAGGAGAGTATGTGAGTTTATTTGTTGCATTAGTTATAGAAAGAAAAAGAAGGTCTAAATATGAAATTTATCACAAAATAGAAAACATGGTGTTTTTCTTTTGTAAACTATGAAATTCGATATTTGAACTGATTTAGAACTGAAAGCGAAGTGAAATTGAATAAACTTGTAGACGTGAATTCGTTTTCGCTGATTGAAACAATTAGGAAATCCAGCTAATAAATTTCAGTATAGAAAGTGAACTGAAAATGACCTCAAGTATGTATGTATTTCAACGAAAAATGGAATTGTTTTCTCTTCGTTTTCGAAGTTTTCTTCTACTTTTCTCTGTTTTTGGATAAACAGAAGAAAATTTTGGGGAAAAAGGCTCGTTTTTCCATTGTTTAATACTAACTGTCTATTATTTATCGTTTT